GATTCTACCAAGCCAATCCCCTGCGAGTCTCACCGGCCGCCCGGTAGAAAGAGAAACGAGATGTCCCGAATTTCAATAACTCAGTCTCGCTCAGTCTCCCTCGAAACTAACCAAGCCTTGTGTCGTGCAAAATCGGGCCATGCCGTGCCACAAGTTCTGAATCTACGACTCCAGATTTTGCTGTTAGATTAATACAAGTACAAGTTCCAATATTTTATCCAGTAATTAATCGGCAGTGTTGATTTGTAATTGTCGGAGTTTGGGCGATCTTCCGCTACGATGTCAACGGCATTGTTAGCCGCAATCGCTGTCATTCTGTGCATTCTTTTCAGGATATTGAATGTCAACAGCCAACCCCAAAGACCGTCGATATGGTGTTGTGACAATAAATTCCTAGATAACATTCTGAAAATCGCACCCCTCCTCAATGAAGAGTAAGTACTTTTACTTTTTCTGCCTGTTATTCTTAATAACCGTGATGTAACGTCCATCCAACCATTACCTAGCCAATTTGAAATTTATTGATTTAGATTTCTAGGAACAATGCTCACTGTTCTAAGTTTAACCGGTGATTTTGTTTGGATCGAAACTACAGTTAAGTGCGACATTAAAAACTGAAAAAAAATCAAATTAGAAAGTATTTACTTAGACAATAGATAGGTAACTAAGCAAAAAGAGAAAAGATACTTTCCTACAGCCAAAATAAATAACATACAGAGCGTTCAAAAACTAACTTTCGTGCCTATCTCAAGGGTAACTTTCTTGAGCCAAAATAAACCGATTTTTTATTTTTTTAAGACAACTTCGATAAATATAGGAGTCGCTTTATTTGTTTTTTTTTACATAATTTATTTTCGTAGGTACTGATTAAGATAATTCAGGTGTTTTTCGAAAGACCATTTTATTTCAGTACTGTGAAAAAAGTAGTGCTCACTAAAACTTCATGAGAAAAATGTATTCCATTTTTCTACTGCAGCTGCAGTTATTATTTAGGACAATCTAGTAGGTATTTGGGATTTTCTAGCCTTTTTATTAAATTTAACTATATTGAATGATGATGATAACTTTTAAGTGTATGGAAAAATTTACAATGTTGATGTTTATTTAGACAATAACACCTTTCCCAAAATTCTCAACTGTCCCCAACTGATAAGTTCTATAATGACGATGTTGTGAAAAGAATGAAATAAAAAATATGTGGAAAAGTCTGTAATTTTTGACGAAGCAAAATTATATTAGAAAGCTTGAGCTATATCGGTTTTCTTTCGATTGAAGAAAACTAAAGTAATATAAATTAAACAACATATTTAAAATCTGAAAGACAATAATAGTTGTTTATAAGATTCAATTATCATAGTTATACTCCTGTTATTATTAAGCTATTATATAAACTAGTGATGTAAAATTCTCGAGCTCGAGCACGTATTTTTGGAGAACGTTCCCCAAGCACGAACGAGCATGAACGAGAATAAACGAGCATAAACGAAAAAAACCTTAGAATTTATATTTGGGGTGTCGTAAAGTATTTAGAAACTTACTTTTCGTATTTTTTTCTGAAAATGCTCAAAAGTCTCAAAATGCTGAAAGTGCTCAAAATACTCCTAATGCTTCATATGAAAATAAGAGTGTATTCATATTATGTGTTGCAAATAATACAGTAATAACTTCTAACATCAAAAAAAAATTATTAAGTAAAAAATAACTAAAACTTACATGCATGTTATAGTCTTTCCGATATCAATTGAAGAACCAAGACGTTGACAGTATGTACCAGGTTCACTCGCTGACGCAGCAACTCGGCATTGAAATATTTGAAAAACTTCACATATTTATTTAGCCATACCCATATACAGGTCTGGTCGAATTAAACGTGAAGGTTTTAGAAATGTATATCTACGCCTAGTTGAAGAATGCGAACGTGGCCAAACGAAATCTAACCCAGCTGCATTGGGCCACTGGGCAATAAATCTCAGTTCTTGGCAAGTGTTGACAAACTGCCCAGCAACTTATTATAATTTTTTATCTTTAGCAGAACATTTTTTTAGGGACGCCTATGAAAGACATTAAATTTTATTGCCAGGCATTTTTTTCATGTTCAACCAACTTCAGAAAGACTGTACATGTATGTAGAGACATAACGTAAGATAAATATAGCTTTGGCATAGTAAGTAGCTCTTCATTTAAATATAAAATATTTTTTTTATTTAAAAAAACTTTATATAAGAAAAATCAAATTGCATCACAATTTGCAATACATTGAAAATATAATTTTCTCTGCAAATAATCGAATGTGTTAACTAAATCAAATAACAAAATAAAACAAGGGGATCCACAGAGGCAGCATGATGCAATGCACGCAGATGAAGCGCGCTGATTGGCCGTGATCGTGCTGAAAATTCTCTTTCGTGCTGAGTGTGCTCTGTGAGGAACGTTCGCGGAGAGCGATCTATCGTGCCCGCACGAACGATTTATCGTGCGCGAACGTTCGCGAAACGTTCTCCACAGCACGAAGGGAACGTTCTCCCCTTTACATCACTAACTGTAGGTATCAAGGCAAATGCATGAATTGCGGTGCTTCGGACCATGAGTTAGAAAGCTGTTCAAGTAGACTTCCTCAGTGCTTAAATTGTTTGGAAATAAAACTGAAGTTTAATTTGGACATTGACTCTAATCACTCTATCTAT